CTTCCTGCGCAGCGCCAGCTTCAAACCTGAGACAGGATGGTGAAGATTGGAGTGAACAGATTTGGCTGTATTGGGTACCTGGTCACCAGGGCTGCTTTTTGCTCTGGCAAAGTGGATGTTGTCACCATCAATGATCCTTTCATTGACCTCAACTACATGGTCTACATGTTCCAGTATGATTCTACTCATGGCAAGTTCAAATGCACAGTCAAGACTGAGAATGGGAAGCTTGTCATCAATGGAAAGTCCATCTCCATCCCCCAGGAGTGAGATCCTGCCAACATCAAATGGGTAATGCTGGTGCTACCTATGTTGTGGAGTCCACTGGTATCTTCACTACCATGGAGAAGTCTGGGGCTCAATTGAAGGGTGGGGCCAAGAGGGTCATCATATGTGGCCCTTTTTGCGGATGCCCCCATGTTTGTGATGGGTGTGAACCATGAAAAGTATGATAACTCCATGAAGATTGTCAGCAATGCCTCCTGCACCACCAACTGCTTGGCCCCTCTGACCAAGGCCATCCATGCCAACTTTGGCATCGTGGAGGGACTCATGACCACAGTCCATGGCATCACTGCCACCTAGAAGATCATGAGTGGCCCCTCTAGCAAGCTGTGGTGTGATGGCCAAGGGACTGTCCAGAACATCATCCCTGTTTCCACTGGCACTGCCAAGGCGGTGAGCAAGGTCATACCTGAACTGAATGGGAAGCTCACTGGCATGGCCTTCTGTATCCCCGCCCACAATGTGTTGGTTGTAGATCTGACCTGCCTCCTAGAAAAAGCTGCCAAATATGATGACATCACGAAGGCAGTGAAGCAGGCATCAGAGGGCCCCCTCAAGGGCACCCTGGACTATACCAAGGACCAGGTTGTCTCCTGCAACTTTAACAGTGACACCCACTTCTCCACTTTTGATGCTGGGGCTAGCATTGCCCTCAGTGACCACTTTGCCAAGCTCATTTCCTGGTATGATAATGAATTTGGCTACAGCAACAGGGTGGTAGACCTTATGGTCCACATGCCCTCCAAGGAGTAAGAGTCCCCTGAACCACTGGCCCCAGTGACAGGAAGAGAGGCCCTCAGCTGCTGGGGAGTCCTTGCCCCAAATCAATCCCTCAACACAGTGAAAATCTCCTGACTTCCAGTTTCCATTCTAGACCACTTGAAGAGGGAAGGGGCTTTGGGAGCCCTGCCTTGTCATGCACCATCAATAAAATTCACTGTATCCAGTTAAAAACAACAAAAAAGAATAGCATAGGAAATAAAGAAGCCAAAGAACTTATATGTGTGACCCGTGGACATGAACTGAGGTGGGGAGGTAATGCTAGAAGGAGAGGGAGTGCAGGGTGGAGGGGGATAAAGGGAAGAGAAAAAAATGGGACAACTGTGATAGCACAATCAATAAAACATACTTAAAAAAATAATACCTCCACCCTACCCTGCCTCCTCTTACAATATCCAGGAGCACCCTTGACCAAGGACATGGTGTAGGTCTGAGGCAGTGGCCTTGCTGGTCTGGGCATCTAAGGAGGGGAGCTTGGCTTTGGGTGGGAGAGGGGAGCTGGGGCCTCGTCCAGGGGTCTCTCCTAGTCACTCTTCCTTGAGGGTGGGCTCAGTCTCTCTGCTCTGGCCTCTAAGTGTGTGATCTGTGTCCTGGTCACTCAGGTCTAGAGGGGAGCCCCTCTGTTGTGCTCTGAGTGATGAAGACTCTCAGAAGTGGGGTACAAAGGAGGAAAGATACTAAGGGATCCCACAGAGGGAATTGAGGAAGTAATTTGGGAATGAGGCTTATGAAGGAGCACTTGTGAAAGAACAGCATCAATAATGAGGCAGTAATAGAATGGCCAAGAGCCCCATGTCCCAGTATGTAGTCCCAGAAAGGAGATGCCAAAGTGGTGGCAGCTGGCACAGCCACAAAAGCAGAGAGATGGGAGGTTAGTCTCAAAGAGTGATGAGATTCCTGTCCCTCCTTATTCTCTTCACCTGGCTGCCTTGAGTCATGTGCTGTTTACATGGCCTATATAATATTTCTTCCACCTCAGGTGGAGATCACTGATAGGAGGGAAATGACCAGGGTATGGAAGGGCCTGATGGCTGGCCTGGGGCCCCCACTCAGGGGGATGTAACAGGTAGGGCAAGTGAGCACTTGGGTCTAGGGGCTACTGCTAGTCTCCGGGTAGGGTGTAGTGGGTCAGGTTGCTGAAGGGAGGAGGGCAGAGAATGGGCAGGAGGGACAGAAGGTAAAGGAAAGTGGGGTGGTCAGAGGGAGGTAGGGAAGGTGTGGACAGGATTTCTCTCCTTCCAAGGAGACAGGAAATGCAGAGCCAGGCCACGATAAGGTACATAAGTCAAGGGTAGGTGCCAACCTCTGTTAGGGGAAGAATTCAGGTGTTATACCATCCCAGTGCATTTTTCTTTGGAAATAGTGAAACTGCCAGCAAAGAATTTCATGCCTAAGTGTCGCCTCTGTCCCCAACACACTTACAGTTGACAGTTGAAAAACATGGGCTTGAACTGAATCAGTCCATTTATATGTAGATGTTTAAAAATAAGTATGTGCTGTACTATAAATGTACTTCCTCGTCCTTATGATTTTCTTAATAACATTTTGTTTTCTCTAGCTTACTTTATTGTAATAATACAAAATGTAATACAAATAACACATAAAATCTTTGTTAATCAACTGTTTATGTTATGGGTAAGGCTTCTAGTCAACAGTAGGCTATTACTAATTAAGTTTTGGAGGAGTCCAAAGTTATATTTAGATTTTTAACTGTGGAGGGCATTGGTACCCTAACCCCTGCATTGTCTAGGGGTCAACTGTACTTTGTGTTTTCCAGGACAAGGTCCCTGCCTTGCTGTTCTTTGCCATCCTTTGCCCACCACCATGAAGCCTGGTGCTGAGCAGTCACATTGCTTATTGAACTGAACCAATGGCAGATGGGAATTTCCAATAGGTCAAATGGCTTAGTTGGCAAGGACTCTGGGTTGGGCCAACTTGTTTCTGATGGAAGCCAAGGAATAGAACAAGAAATAAAACTGACATTTCTTCAGAGCCTACCCAGCACTAAACACATCCTCTAGTTTGATGTGTCATCACCATTTTCCACCTGGTAAAGCTGAAGACCAAGTTAATGTTGCTGGCTGTTACGTCAGAGTCAGGGTTTCCATCTTCACTGACTGGCTTAGAACTGCAAGACTGAGCTCTTTTTAGAGGTCAGAGGGACCTTCAAGGAATGAAGCTAAGGTAACCCTGGGAGGCCAGGGGCATCCCCAGAGGCCGAGTGGAGCTCCCCAGGTCTGGCCTATGGAAACCAAGGCTCAGTGACAACCTGGTAGCTCCCCGGTAACTCTTTGCTGGGTGCTTCCCTAGGAAAGAGGGAAGAGGAGGGGCAGGACAGAATCCCAGCATCTTCTTGGGAAGAGATGAGAAGGAAGGATCCCTCTGCTGTCAAGGGAGCAGGAAGAAGATGTGACCTGTGGCTGAGTTCTGTTCCCTTGGATGCCAGAGAACTGACACCCCAAAAGAACCCAAGATTGGAAAAACCTGGTGTCCTTACCCAGGCCCTCGAGAAGTTCTGTCTCTGGATTAGATTTCCTTTAAGATACCCTAAACTGGAGCAAACAGCTTCCATTCTGAGCTAAAATTTTCTGTTTTCTCAGATGTAAGTGGGGAGAATAATAGTTATTTCCTTTGTCTTAGCTTAAATGTCACCTCAATGAGACCTTCCCTGATCTCCATTTCAAATTGTAACCCACCTACCACTGGCTTTCCTGATCCCTTCTCTGCTTTGCTTTTCTCCGTAGCACCACTCACTTTCTAGTATACTGTATTATCTGTCTACCTACATACCTACCTACTACCTATCTACCTACCTACCTACCTATCTACCTGTCTATTTGTTTTTGTGTGCCTCACTGTTAGTGACATAGGACAGGGGTCTTTGCCTGTTTTGTTCACTGAGTCCCCAGCACCTAGACCGGTGCCAGGCCTATCAGAAGCACTCCATAGATAGCTGTTGAATGAGTGAGTGAAGAATGGATGGATGGCATTGCTGTATATGAAGTATTCAGTAGGACATTAGCACTTTATTATTATGGCTGCTGCTGCTGCTGTTTGTCAGATGTGATTCATGCAGATTGCTTCTCCATCTGCGTAACAAGGAGATTGAACCACTAGTGCTCTCTGAGCTCCCTTCAATCTCCACAAAACCTGCAGTTCTCTGATCTTTATACTCCCAAATGCTCAGTGAGGCAGGTTTTTCCACTGCTCACCTTGCAGTTCTCAGCAGCAGCTCTGCCGGGTTTGGAGGTGCTGAGCATCTCTCTCGTGGCAGTTCTTGTTCTTGTGACTCTGAGAGTCAGAATGGGGCAAGGTGTGGGACCATGAGTCAGTCTGATGTTTCTTGGAACGGTTTCCATTCAGATATTTATAGGTTTTATTTTAATTGGCTTTAAAGTGTTGTTTCATAGCATTTTATTGGTTCAGTAGACAGAATTCACTATGTACATAATTGAGGTCATTTGATTTAAATTTCTTTATTAAGCATATTTGTAGAAATAAAATTCAGGAAAAACAATTTGCCAGTCCATGTGACCTGACTGGGGATGTGGACACACGGTCCTTGGAAACAAAGGTTCACAGTGTCCTGCCCTGGCTGAGGCTCTGGTCCTTGGCCTTGGACACTCCTTATGTGGACAGGGTCATATTTTAGCTGCCCAAGAGCACCTGTTTTAGGCTCAGGTCCTCTGTGTTAGACTGTCTTCAGAGGGCCTGAGCCCTATCTCTCAGGATCTCCCTCTGAAAAGGGCTTCCTGGCACCCTGGGGTTCCCCACAACTGACTGACTTTGTTGGGGCAGTTTCAGGAGTAAAGTTCACACTCATTTGGTATTCGCTGAGTAACTGGGATGGCCTCCGAAGAGGGGGAGGGGTGAGGGACAGGTCTGGCTAGTTCTGCCTGGTTGTTTATACTTGGGATTACCTCACACATCCCAGCCTTCCAACCTGCTTCACCACCCTTCTGGTGGGGGTTGGCCCTCGGCCCTCCAGCCCTTTTTTCCCCACATGCCCAGGAAGCCAGGGGCCAACATGGATCTTCCCATTGATATCAGATGAGTCTGGAAGCCTCCTCAACTTTTGGGAGACCATGGAAAGGAACAGCCGCCCGGTGAGTTTCCCTGGGCCATGGGCCAGAACCTCCTGGCACTGAGGAAGCAGGGATAGGGCTGGGAGATGGGGGGGGGGGCACTGCTACCGGTGTGCCTCAGGTTTGGGGGGAAAGTGAATGTGCCTTTTCTTCTTTGTAGCTACTTGGGATCAAGATTGCTTGACCTCATTTTATCATGGTTCCTAGGACGGACTCTTCTAGGAAGGAAAGAGAAGCTGATAGGATTTGGGGTCTGATCAGGAAGCACCTCAGGTGTGTGTGGCTGAATACTGGGCTTCTGCTCTGTGTACTGTGAGCACCCCAGCCAGGACACTTATGCTGCTAGAGGTCACCTTTACTGGTTTGAGAATCATGGAAACTTAGCATTTTAATGGGGCTTCTGGGTTATCTTAGCTATGTTCTCACTAGACTCATAAACCGTCCTTAAAAATATCACTATGTGCATTTAAGATCAAGGGAATTTTCAATCTGCCTTGGTCACTTAGTTTTGGGCTTAATAATATTCATGTTTGGAAAGTGCTTTCTTGCATTTATCCATAACTCCTTCTGCTACAGTTCAGGTTCCTGTCCTCATCTTCTGCCCTTGGTGGTGGTAGAGAGCAGCTGAAGGTCTTCTGTGGAAAAGCCAGTCATATACATATGAAGGCTTTCAAAGACTTTGTTCAACTGTGCCTCAGCTTTCTTTTCTTGGGGGACATTCCTCTTGGGCTCCAACTTTTTATTAGGTCTTATTTTCTATACCTTTTCATCTTCTTTTGCATTTTACTAAAGTAGTAGAATCTGAGACTCTGGGAAGAATGGGAAATACTGGGTTCCAGAAGCATTAGCTCAACCTATGTTCTGGCATGTGGTCCATTCTGAACACCAGATGTGTTTCTGTAACTTTTAGCCCCCATCAATCATCAGCCCCATTTTGACTTTTATTTCCCAGGCTTTCTTCTCTGTCCCCTGCTCTGGTCTCCTTGATTCATGTCTCCACCCACCAAGGTCATTTGACCTGAGGTCTCTGGAGCTCATTGGATCCTGTAGTAAGCAAAAAGGGTGATGTACAAAGAGAATAGAGTTTTGTCTGGGGTATGGGGACACTGAGCCCACAGCCACAGTCATGTTCCTTGGAAACTTGCTGGGAGTCTAAATGTGATGGTGTCTAAACACAGAGAGTGAGAAGGGCTGAGCTATCTGAAGGGTTGTAGGGTCAGTTCCTGGGGCAGGGTGAAAGGGGGATATCAGCCTAGGAAGCACCTTTGTCCAGGGTCAGGGACCAATGTGGAAGGACACTGGTGGGGCACATGGTGAAGAACAGTCTTTCCATTATTGGTGGAATTAAGTGTCAAATTGTGTGGTTGGTGCCATGTTCATTCAGGGAGGCTGTCCTAACTTATGTTGTAATGAAAGAAGTGAACCACTACTTTCTTATTTAAGGTTCTTAAATGTACCCCCTTGTTTAGGGTAGAACTGCTAAAATAGTGAATCTGTGATGGGAGCAGGGAGAGCTGCCTCAGTAATATTGGCAGAAGGCTTCTTAAAATAAATGAAATTGAATAGGAGCTGACTGGGAAAAACTAGGCCACACCCTCTCCCTAAAGGCTTTATTGTTCTTCAGCTGCATAAAGTTGTGAAGAAGATGGTGGCCCAGTGAAGCTCCTATGTGAGCAGGTTGGGTCTTCAGAGGAATCTCAGGAAAGTTGTGGAGAAGTTTCTTGGCTTCTATGTATTCCAAAGAGGAGGTGCACGATGTGGTAGACAACACTGACCAAGTTCCAGGTTAGCTGTGACTTTCGGTATCTGTAAAATGGAATAAAAACCATATCTATTTGAAGGAGTCTTAGAGTAGTTTCACTTGTAAGCCTCCTTTAGAAAAGCATCTGCCTTAACTAGAGATAGAGATAGAGATAGATAGATAGAGATAGAGATAGAGATGGAGATGGAGGTGGAGGTAGAGGTAGAGGTAGATTCACAGAGAGTTAAGATTTGTTGTTATCATCACCATCTATGGTTTAATCTTGGCTCCTTTAAAATTTTTCACAAATATTTTCTTCTCTCCATGCCTAAGTTTTTCTACCTATGAAATAAGAGGGTTGGACAAATTTCCCCTGGAAGCCCCTTTGTGGTCCCATGACAGTCTCTGAAATTATATAGAATGGGATTACAGGTGCACCATACTGGATATGCATATTTGTTTTTGAAAAATAGTGTATATTTTGTGCCTTATGAGGCTTATTCTTCATGCTTAAAGACATGCAATGTTTATTAAAGAAAGACTGATGTGGAGTCACTGATAAAAGCAACAATCCTTTGCAGAGTTAATTTTCTTATACTGGGTTTTCTTGAAGTGGAACAAGTTCTCAGCCAGCCCAAGACCACAGATGCTGTGGACAAGAAAATGGAGGGAGGCCCCAGGAATGGTTCAGATGAGGGCCCCTCCCTGGAGGGGGCTGGGCAGGTTCCCAAGATGGCAGACCAGTAGGCCCAGGTCACTCAGCCATCCCCCAGACTTCATAGTGCAAGTCCCTTTAGTATCCCTGGCACAAGCCCTTCACTCCTGCAGGCAAGCAGCTCTCACCTGAGACCTCTGTTTCATGTCATTGGCACTAAGCAGACTTCCACCTGGGTCATCCCTGTGTTGTTCCTCTGACTAGGCCAACATGAGCGTGGATGTGTGGGAGTGTGTGTTTGGGGCTCCAGGCTGGGGTGCTGGGCAGGAAGGCCAACTGATGTAACAATAGCCACTTAGCTTAAGTGTCTTGTTTTGGCAAAACAGCTTACTCTTGGTACAGCAACAATGTGAAACCGGAAAAGTTGGCATTCATGCCCCCTATCACTACCAGAACCAATAAGTGGAGACAGAGATTGAATCTTTATTGGTACTTTATTAAGATGGCTGACAATCTGAGAAGACAGTGGGTTATGTACCCTAAAAGACCATCTTACATTTCATTTCAAGCCAGCCTTTCTTTATAAGCAGGGAAAAAGTGTAGGTAAGGGGTTTGGAATTCAGGGAAAAAAAAAGTGTAGGTAAGGCATTTGGGACTCAGAAAAGAGGTTAATCAGATTAAAGCTGCAGTCTGGCAATTTCTCAGCATACTTTCATCCGCTGACCTGTTGACCTGTGATTCTTTATCTGTGTCTTCGGCATCTCTGTCCTGGGTGGTTCTTTTTCTATGTCTTGTGTCCTGTGTCCTGGGCAGTGGGATGTCTCTCTGGAACATGATGACTCAGATACCATCTTGACTGCTTGCAGTTCCCCTGGGACACAAACGTCAAATTGCTTGTGGTCTCCTGGAAGCAGTGTGGGTCACATTTTCAGTTCCTGAAACAATACTTTTTCACATGCATTCATTACTAAGTTTATTAACTATTATCTAAAACTAAACTTTGCCAACTCTTGAGTTCCCCCATCAAATGGAGGTGGACTGTGTCCAGCCAGATGTGCAGGGTTCTGGGTGGGCACAGCATGGAATCCAGTCCAGGAACCCTGGACTCTTGGCCTTATCAGCCAAGTGGAGGCCTTAGCAGTACCAGGTGGAGGCTGGCTCATCTAATAGGGAAGTTATACTAGTACTGTCCAGGGAGCACCCATTGTATACCAGCATTGGCAGAGAGAGCACATGGGGAGAAACTGAGGCAGTAAGTTCCTAGGTAATCAAATGTTATTTGCTTGGTAACAGTGGACGATAATGTTCTTTAAACTATCTGATGAATGAATAAATAACAAATGAATGAATGAACAAATAAGAAGGTATTTTGATTCTGTTCCAACAAGACCCCAAAGCTCTTTCATATGTATAGGAGGCATCATAAACTATACATAACTTTAGCACTCACCCAGGCCAGCAGTGTTTAGGTTAGTAGCAGCAAGCTCCTTTGTTGAAATGAAATCTTATGTGGAGCCAGTTGCATACAATTGAAAAGTAAACCTGTTTGAAGTGGGGTGAAGGACTGGGAGCCCAGCACCTCCTAAGCTGGTCTCCTGGGCCTTTCCATGGAAACTTCAAATGTGCTGTGAAAGCCTGTGGGGAAGCAGTGGGCTGTCCACTTCCTTATTTTATAGATGAAGGAGCTGAGAGGGATGTGATTACCCCTTGGATCGCACAGGTGAGTAGGAGCAGAAGTAAGATGCCCTTGTGTATCCCATACCTGGAGCAAGAGAGGTCTCATGGTTCTGGCTACTTAGTTTGGAGACCAGTTTGATTCTAGGCTGACCAAGATCTCTCAGGTTAATATTGCATGTGCTGGGAGCTGGGTGGGAGGAGGTTCTGGGCATCTGCCAGTGTACTGAGGGGAGCCTGTATTTGTGGGGTTTCTCTGGGTTCAGGCAGGGGATAAGAGGAGGGAGCCCTGTATGGTGAAGCCTGGATTGAGCAGTGAAAATGGGAGAAAAACCATGATCTACACCCCAACACAGACCACTTCCGTGGAAGTCAGTTCAGTCCAGGCCAGTCCACACTGAAATGGATTCAGGACCCCCCTGCCTTGGCCCAGGGGCTCCCCAGTCTCCTAACAAACAAGGGGGCTTGTTAGGTCTCATCAAAGGAAGCTCCTGAGCTTTCCTGGTAATCCCTCATGCTTCCATTGTGGATTGGGGGTACCTCTTCCTGCCTAGCCCAGAAGGCTGGGGTGTCAGCCTGGGGGCCTGCCTATGTGTGCAACAGGGTGCAGCCAGGGGACCCCAAATAGGGATTTGTAATGGGGTCCAGAACTCAAGGTATCTAGGAACTATTAAAAATGTGGGATGTCCTCACCTGCCACAGGTCTGAACTAGGGGATGGGACACACAAAGCAGGGCCATTTAGAGTTGTTTTGCATAGCAACAGTTTTGCAAATAACTTCAGGCATGGCCATTTAACATATCTATAGGTTTTAACTGATTTCATGGATATGTTAAATAGCTGTGCCCCTGCTTTGAGCCAGGGGGATGAGAGTGACTTCCACCCAGGATTTAACTAAGAGGCAACTGACCCTGGTTACAGTGCCTGCATGAGAGATTAGAGATGATTGGC